TACACTACTTACATATAGGGCGAGGTGTCACACGCACTACACCTCCCCCGTTTTTTTGAAAAAAACAAATATTTTAATACATATTTTTTTAAAGATTAAACTGTTGTGGCGACGCTTGCCACATGTCAACGGATGACGTCACAAGAATCCTACATCGCACATGCAAAGTTTACAAGCGAATAAACATGGATAAAAAAATCCCAACGAACAACTGTCGGGCAGAAAGCCCGCCAGGCACGATCACCTCGCCTGGTCGGAGGATCCTCCTTTTCCGATCTTAGGGAACTATACTCTCTGTTCCCTAAAGTGGTGACCCCGACGTGATTGGAAACAACCTTCACTTCACGGAGCAGATTAGCACCGTCATCCGTATCGCCATCCCTCTCATTCATCACTTCTCCGCTGAGCGGTAGTCAAGTCGCAGCCAACCAGCATCCTTGGCCTCATCAGGGACCACCATCGCCTGCAACGAAGTTGTGCAGCTTGGTTCTTCCCTACGGCCTCGCCAGCGTCTAGGCACAGCACTTCTGCACACGGTTCTGAAGGACATCTCCTCCTGTCAACGCAGACGCCAGCCACTACGCACCTATCCTCGCAGCATCTATTCCCCGACTCCGAAGCAGTCATGCTAGCTAAGGAGGAGGCGGGACGCGTGAGGCAGCGAAGCGCTGCCTCCTCGCAACCCAGTCATCGCGAAGGACACACCGGGCCGGGGATCGCGGGACGTTCTCCGGCCACCGTAAGCGCGGGCCTGCGGACGGCGAGCATGGGTGGCTCCCCGTCCGACCAGAACCGAGCTCGAGACGACGACGACGAGCTCGAACCAGACTCGAGCGTACGGCGCGTCGCGTTCCGCGCGCGCCTCAAAGAGCCATCAGACCACCACAGATGGGGCTCAATAGGGCCGATGCCGATTCGGAGTCGCGGAGAACCTAACGGGTAACCGGGGCTCCGGCTCGACGTGCAGGAGAAGGAACGGGGTGGTTTTTAGTCAGTAGGTAAGAGTCTGACACTCCCTTCCGCCTTACCCAGGCGGGAGCAGACATTCGATGATTTTCCCCCCTTAAAAAAAATGGGTACTATTAACTAGTATTATTCAAAAAAAATACAAAAAATATAGGCACTTATAATAATTCTTACATGCGTAATTATACTTATTGTCCATTATATGCCCTATTAATGTTTTAAGTCTATAGGTATCTACTAATTTGTGTCCATTTGCACTCACTATAACACTAAAACACTTAGCACTATTTGAGTCCAGTTTCTCCATTCTGCGTTGCCAGGGTAGCGGAGACAATCTCGGACGCTACCTGGTCGCCAACATCTCCCTGCTCCATTCTCTCGGACACCAACTGCTCCCGGCAGGTCCACATCTAGCTGCATTGATACCCGGCAGCCAGCAAAATCTCTCCACTTACGAACGCTGATACGCACTTTTAGTCCACACTTGAATTACTTAATTATTTTTAACAAATCCAAATATCCAACATTGTACTCGTGCGCAGCGCTGCCCGCGTGGCAGCACTGGCAGGGTCGCCATGCAATGTGGAGCAATGAGGGAGACGTGTTGTTCTTATGAATATCTTTAATTAAGTGTCTTAATAACTAACTTACACTACTTACATATAGGGCGAGGTGTCACACACACTACACCTCGAAGAGCCATCAGCCCATTACAGATGGTTCCAGTAGGGCTGATGCATATACGGAGCTGCGGAAGACTTCAAAGGTTACAGGAACTCCGGCTCTATAGTAGCAGAAGTAGGAATGGAGTAGTTTCTAGTCAGTAAGAGTCTGACACTCCCTCTCGCCTCGTCCAAGGTGGGAGAAGCCAAGGGATGATTTTCCCACTTGAAAAAAAAGCACAAAGTAAACTAAGTTAATTTTATAGGTAAATTATATCCACTTGCTTTAGACACACTGTGTGAATATATAGGCAAAATATATATTTTTTTCTTTTTCGTATGTCACGTACCAAGATTCCGGCTCTGTTAACCAATAAATATGTATGGTAGTACTTGTTCCTTTCAAGCTTGCTCAATACTCAGCCGTTTATCAGCCCGAAGCAGAAGACTTTTGTCATATAAGAAAGCAAATACAATAGTCAAAAGATTTTCCTTGAAAAGGTTGAAAAAAATGATATTGTGTTAGTTATTAAAGGACATTGAAAAGATATAAAATGAAGTAGGTATGGCTCTTTATTAAAAAATCTATAATAATTATTAATAATGCCGTTTTGTAAAGTTCCATGTACATGTATTTGTTATAATATAATTATTATACCTAGTCTAAAACTGTTATAAATTTTCTTTCAATGATGACGGCACGAGAAGTCGCTTATATTGTTATTGGAAAGCTAAGATTTGGCAAAATAAATTCATAGGGTAAAAACGGACCCGATGTTATTAAATATGTGAGATATCTTTATTATTTTTGTGAATACTGCTATCAGTATTGTAAAATACTATAACTTTATTTATAATTATAAGATCGAAAGACGAAAATATTAAAAACACTAAAATATATAACTTGAAACAATTTAATATAAAGGTACTAGCTACTCTCGCGCGGTTTCACCCGCTCTGCTCGGCTTCTATTGATCGTAGCGTGATGTTTTATAGCCAATAGCCTTCCGCGATAAATGCACGATCCAACACAAATAGAATTATTTGAATCCGACCAGTAAATTCGGAGATTAATGCATTTAAATAAACAAACAAGCTTCTTAGCTTTATACATAATATAATAGAAGGTATAAGATAAGATATACAATTTTAATCTATATTGTTAATATTCACGGATGTTTTAAAATTGTGATTACCAGTGCAACATTGGTTTTAATTGTAACAGCTTAACCCTTAAAAGATAATAAAACATTTGGCTTGTACACACAAATGATACGAGGTTTTCGACGTTCGTGCTAAATTATACACGAAAAAGATGTTAAATCCACATTTGCTGGTTTTTTATTCGAATGTGAACCGTACGTACGACGGCTGATAAAAACTGATATAATAAGCGGCTCAGTCATGGCACCAAACATTTCCCCTGGGCCACACTCGTGTAATGTACCGACATTTGTCAGAGTTAGGGCTTTGAATGTGTTTAGTTATAATACAGAGTTCGTTGTCTGTTGCAAAAACATCGAAATAATTATAGTAGTTTCACTGTTTCAGTGACATATATTATGCATTAGTATTTCATTTTAACAAGGAATGCAAATGTTTGATTGTAAAATTAAAACTTGATAGATTTATAGCGCTTATCTTTAGAGTTCAAGTATACAATACATGTAGGTACTAAATACACTGTACTAAGTACAAACTACTTAATGACATAGATTTCACTAGAATATTCAATAGAGCGAAAATGTAACTAATTGATGGCTACATGTCAGTAGCAGATGTAAGTCGGATCACAACCGTTTAGGAACACGAATCGTGGGCTAAACTATGTCCCAGATGAGTGGTACACTTTATACATGTTTTGTTTATAGTCTTTCTATAAGAAAGGCGTGTCTTATTATCTAGTAATACTTTGTCCGACCTGGGAATCGAACCCGAGACCCCCTGCCCGGCCGCCACCACTCGGCCAGCGAGGCAGTAAAAACTATAATGACTTACAAATTGCAGTGATAGAGTTGGGACTAATCACCTTGAGATTTTCCGTTGGATACGAATTACTCCGAGCTCTTACGTTTTTCCCTAATGAACCCATCCAAGCATGTGACACGGATTTCTTTTGTTTCATATCAACGGAAAAACGAACCCGGGTCAGCTCTATTGTTGTCACGGATTCACGGTTTCATACCTTGTATGAACCGGGAATGATAGCCAACCCTCTTTATGTTGTGACATATAACACACATAACCTTCGTGTTAATTCATTCTTCAAATTTTATGAAAATAAATTGACAATAGGTATGTCACATACTACATTATTTACTAAACATTCTAATAATAATCTATCTATCACAGTACCCTGATCCCTTAACTTTACTGAATAGTGCTTATATTTCATCAAAATTGCGATCGCTTGATGCAACTTTTTCACCAAATCTTTTTTCAAATCGTTATCTTCATTGATCATAACTCTTTCTTTCTTCCTTACCAAATCATAATACGAGGTCAGCAGTAGGTATATTTGTGTCGTACAAATATAATGAAGGTCTGTCAATGACGTCAACATAACAATACTAACCGATAGAATAGATAACAATAGAGCAATTGCGGACAAAAAGATGGCGCGTATTGAATGTAGAAAATTGTGCTAAACTCTGACAAGACTTGATTCCTCTAACTATCTTCATAGGGTTTTTAATGGCATTCCACTTAACTATGTGAAAAAATATTTATTTAGTAATCTGGGTCCAATTATGGTATACGGCTACCAGAAGTACGTACGAATAAGCTTTTGGGGTTTAAAATATACCTAAAATTCGTCATCCATGTTTTTGTTATTATTTTTTTTTAATTCCTTTTTATATAAAGTCATCTCTGACTATTGTGGCGACACAACCAAGTTATAAGTATACAAAAATTGGTTGTTATACAAAAATTATATGATTTTTGACGAAAGTAAATCTTATGCTACCATACATTTAGTCGACTTAGTAGCCATACCATGGTTACTACCTGCTGGCATTAAAATAATCTTTACTTTCTTACCTTACAAATAATTTGGTTAACTGTCCCCAACCACAACTTTAGTTTCAAATTATTCTCCGAACTAACCCAATTACTGTAACCGCACGATTCGTATCCTGAACTGGATTGTATCTATTAGAGAATAATACCGAACCGTCAACTTTGTAGCTCATCGGTTTTGGACATAATTTCGGAACTCTGTACGACGTACGCCGATGGCAACTGTAACAAGGGACTCATTATCAGTTCATACACTTATCTTAGGATATCCTATAAAAAAGGAGTCATTTTACTATTAGTATTTAATAATTAATAATTAATAGGAGTATTTAATATTTTTTTACTTCGCAGGTGGCGGCGGGGCACAGCTGGAAGAAATGGAGAATTGCGACGCAGCAGACTTGAACGTATGTGTAGAATTGATCCCGCGAACTCCTGTCGGCCTGCCCAGGAACAAAAATGAGTTGGACGCACACTGCCAGTACGTACTATTTAGAGGTTGTAAAGATCTCAAATGATGTACGTTTTTATGTAGAATGCTTGTTCTGTTAAGTGAGTAAATTATATTTTTTCCTCTTGAACCTTCATGAAGCGCCTCTAGCTTTTAGAGGGAAAGACTAGCAAATGAATTACTGACCTATATACCGCTATGATGAGCTTTCTAGACAAACAGTTCCATTAATAATAATAATATATAATTTTATAAATAACATTACCTATATAAAATTAAGATAACAGTATAATTATTATCTACTTACGAAAAACATAAAGATTGATTCAGAAAAGAAACAATCACTAGGCAAGTAACGTTGTAGCAAGAAATTGACCTAAGGTCACAAAGTCTAGAATAGTGCCTTGTATTAGCAATGAACTCTCCACTATTGTGTTGATATACGTGTCTCACAAGTCACAAAATTGAGTATACCTGCTAACTGAATCCAAGAGGTCTAATAAAATCACCGATTGGATTGAACTTCTTACTAACGCAACCCTTGTTGTATTTTAATACAAAAACTAAATACCTATTTCTTATGAATTTTCAACAACACATACATCATACCTTTTTTGTCCTGAAGATATACCTATTACCTAGTAGTAGTAGGTACCTAGTAGTACAGTCCAAATCCCGTCAAACATAGACCCGAAACAAAGTAATACACAATAATAGTCATACTCGACCGCTGCAAGATGTTTCTTTGTTTCCTTTTATCCCCGAAGGGGTAGGCACCTCTTGCACCTCTGTGCACACAAAAGTAACACCCACTTTTCACTATTATGTTATGAGTCCCATGTAATAGGGGGTGAGCCTATTGCAATATACCGGGCACATTTCCAGACTCCGTGCTACTACTGAGATTTTTTTTAAAACCCAGTAATACTTTGTCCGACCCAGGAACCGAACCTGAGACCCCTTGCCCGGCAGTCGCACTTGCGACCACTCGGCCATCGAGGCAGTCATTATTGACTTACTGCATTATTATGTACTTTGCGTACCAAAAACCGTACATGTTACCCACTTTAACCTATACAGGTATTTTAGGGAGGTACTTTGTGCATACGTAACCAAAGCAAAGTACTTGAATATGATGAACCACGATATTTATTCCAAAGGAAAGTCTACCTTTATAAAAATATTCGTATTTCAGGTTGAAAACGTCCAACATAATCTAGTATTACTTACGCATTCTGCTTAACCCATATCAAAATTAATAAAAAGTATCCCAAGACCCTTACGTACGTTCTACGAAATGAAATGTGAGATTCATAAGGTCTGTAGCGTTATGAAATATTTCAAGAAATGAGTATTAATTACATGCCATTTCCATTTCAATAAACAACTCACTGAGATAATTAATAAATAATAAGAAATTAATCGAATTTTAAATGAGTAAGTGCAAGTCGTTAGTAAACACTCTTGTATTTTGTTGGTTCATGGAAGTACCAAAATATTAATCATTATCTTAACAAACTTGTTATTTTCCGAGAAAATGCTCCATTCCACATGATAAGCTTTATTTGCCGTCAGTTATACCTAGGTACTTTAATTTAAGACAACAGGCGGAGAGCAAAACATTTTTATTGCAATAGTCCACCGTCAAAGACATAATACCAAATAAGGACATTATTCCATGCAAAGAATTTCTTAATAAGACCTAGCGCTAGTAACACCATAGAAATATTGAAATTGAATCTAGATAGTTATCAGCTAGAAGATCAAACAGTGTCTTTTATTGTGTCCTAGACTGAAGGAAACTCGACTCTTGGTCAAATTAGTATCCCTCGGGCAAGATTACTGTACCTACCTATAATAATTAACCTGAGGGACGGCACTTAAGGTACCCTACCTGAATAACCACCATCGACCATAAATTAAAAAATATTACAATAATTGTTAAATATTATCCAACTTACCTTGTAACAAATAAAATAATGAGGACGTAAAAAAACCTTCCCTTTGCCAATTTTTTTTATAACCACCTTTTATAATTCCGAAAGTACCTACATCCAGCTAGTACATACCTGCTTAACAGGTATAAAAAAATTCGTCGTTTAAAAACCTTAATGGGCTTCTTCGAGGAAAAAGGTGCATCGACATTGTTTGAACAAGACGTACATTTGTACAAAAATCGCGTCTATCCGGCTGATATGTACCATTTGTTACATTCATGACGGCTGTCTGAGAATTAGGCCGCGGCTTTAATGTAATATTATATTACTTTTTGTGTCATTCCCCAATATTTAATGTCCTTAAACTGTCAAACACCAAGCGGTCACCGGTGACCGCGACCTATTGTTCTTTAATTGTGTCTATAAAACCGGTACTCGACGAGTTAACAGAAGAAATTATCTCCTTTATAATGTTTTCGTTGAGCACGAAATATTCTGATTTATGCTCTTCACGCTATAGGTACAGAAGATAGAGAACATAATTGTAATAATAACTGTAATAGTAACATTATATTAACATAATTGTAATAGTAACGTTATATTACTTTTTGTGTCATTCCCCAATGTTTAGGTAATGTCCGTAACGAAAGAAATTATCTCCTTTATAACGGCATTGTTTTCGTTGAGCACGTAATATTCTAATATATGCTCTTCAGGCTATAGGTACTAGAAGATAGAGAACATAATTATAATACTCTTTGCTTAAGCAACCGGTGCGTTTTTCTTAAATATAGGACTTTATCTGCCTCCCTTTAATAATGGCTAGAGATAGTAATTTGGCATGATATAAACTATTTTTTATCATCCCTTTATTTTTCTCTATGTTATGTATATGTCGTACTAAGTCAAATTGTGTTTATATATTTTGAAAAACATTTAATATCTTACAAACAGTCCTGATACTTCATCCTCGTCATCAATCTCTTTACGAGTTACAAAGGTATGTCCAAAAGTTACGCACATAGTTGCTCGGGTTTGCAATTTTCTTGGGGACCAACAATTAAGCCTTTTAGCCCCCTCTAATGTTTCGTAAATGCTACCTTTGGGATTATGCGAAACTATTTACGGCTCTAATTGACAATAAACATTCCGGTCCTTATCACTTGTAATTGTAACTTTAAGGAAAGATATTTACGTTACAACTTTGTATTTCAAATTACTAATAGGTACTACGTATTTCCTCCTTGTCAGAGATCAAATACGTTTATTATCATTTGCGCGATTTATGGAGCAAATTCGCAAATATAAGCTGATTAAAACATTAGGCTTCTGTAAACGATCTTAATTTCAAACAAGCTTACTTTGGATTACGTAAAATTAGACGTAATATTTTTATTATCAAATTGACATCACCTTCTGAAAAACATGCAAAATCTGTTATCTCACAAGGCTCTGGAGTTAAATGACAAACGCCCGTTAAATTACAACTTTTATTTGAGAATCGTTTATCATTTTCTCAACAAGTGTTCCCAAGCGTCTATCTGTATTACAGGCCATGTTTCACTTAGGTAGCTAAAAGTTACCATACATTAAACTTACCGAACAAGACGTAATTTTACGAATCCTGGTCTAAGAAGTTACCCAATTATTTATAAGTACGTGTAGGTATAAGTATTGTATAACCCTTCGATGACAACAAACAACCAAGTTTTGTTTTGTAATTTCTCTTTTGTTATTTTTTATGTATTTTATGTTGATCTCGGTTATTGTTTTCTCATAAATATAAATAAAAGTCTAATAGGAACGGTATATGAAGACGCGAACAATATTTTTAGATTAAGTAACTTGTTATAGTAAATTAAACTTCGTAATCTTTATATATTTGGTTGATGGGAATATGTTAAGAATTTCTTTACACTTTCTTAGGTATATTTATTTACACGTGACAATTGATAATTATGTAGCCTATATGTTGATCCGACCTGTTAGTAATATTCATACAAAATTTGAAGGAAATTCATGCAGTGCTTTTTAAGTTTAGCCCGGACATACATATACCTAGACAGACAGACAAAAATGATATTTATGTCTTCGATATCGACTGTAGAACACGCCTCAAGTATTCTTTAAAAAAAATATTCAATGGACTGTTTGGACTTTCCTTCGATTTTATTATATGTGCATATATAGATGCGGATACTTAGTCCTTTATATCTTTTCCAGGGCATATCAAACAGGCATGGTATGCATGGACGCGTGGATCAAACGGTGCCTGCCCACTGATGGGCAGAAATTACTACAGCAACAGATTGGTGGAGCTCGTGCACTCATGCGGTTTTTGTGCACAAACGATACGGCTTTACGGAGAGGTTAGTATCTAGATGATTCACCATGAAGTATGCATGTATATTCAACCAATTAGTCAAAAGCCACGTAGCCATTCGTCACCACCTCTTCCCATGGGTCTCGTAAGAATCAACTATCTATGGTGCTTGGGTTAGCAATATAAAGCAAGCGTACAGATTATAACACACCCTATTAATGTAAAGAAGTGAAATAAATTGTAGTTACCTATTCCTTATTTTATCAAGATTAGGCTAAGGCACAAAAACACCTACCTAAAGTACATGAAAGCACTTTCCAGGTAATCATTCTAACAAGCGGTGTTTTTCTTTGTTATACAAGTAAAAATATACAGATATTTCTCGGCATTGGACCTATCTAGGCAACGAAAAAACGACCTAAAAACAAAGAGCTCTATAAATGGAAATTACTAAGTATAAACCGAAAAATATTCAATCTTATTAAACAAGCTATCAATGAGGATTTAAGTTCGAATAAAAAGATAAAGTGCAAATCCACAATCAAAAGGGATTACTGACATGATTGGAAACACTTATATTCAATTAAAAGGTGCCTCCGGCTGCAGTTACAATAATTGGAAACCAATCAGGGACACATTGCATTTATTCGTAGGTGTTATATTTATAAATATATCGTTTATTTTAACTAAGGACAGTAGTCCACGGTACGTCATTTGACGAATACATGCATTCGCCAAAAACGATAAGTGGATTTAGCGTTGCCGCTTCGTGGACAGTTTTCACTGTTTTTAAGCAAGATGCATGCATTAGTCATTTGTAGGCCGCATATTGTTCGTAAAAGAAGCATGCATTCAAATCATCCAAAGTGAACAGTTACCCTAAAGTATACACAATCTACGCGATCCATCATCGAGATATGATGACGTCAAAAAGTCGCTTGTTGAAAATAAATAAAACTTTGCAGCTACAATTGAACTGAAAGTTGATTGATCGTTCATTTTCAGAATTCGTCAGTTAAAAGTCGATATTCATTTCCAATACGTTTTTTGTGAACACATATGAGATACTTTTTTCTCAATCAAAATACGATCCTTTGCTTGGTGATGAATGTATTTCTATTGAAAGAAATTTATTTGTAAGTTATAATTACTTTTGTGCAGAATTCTTGAAGGAACCAACGTGTTGGGGCAGGGTGTCTCCCGACTGGAGCCGCTGTGTCGATGAATTGCAGATCGCAGTCCGAGAAAATACGGAACGAGCTCAACAGCTCACGTATTTCAACAGAAATGCTGAGTTGTGTTGGTAATTAACTTTTAATATTTTTATAGTAGAAAGCAACGCAAACACTAAAAACTTATAGTAACAACCTGTGACCCGTAGGTACTTCTATACAATCGAAATGCACTAGCCAAAATGGTTGTTTTTAGGTTGCTTACTTTTACATCGTAACATAAAATAAAACATCAGAAATTAAGTAAGATGAAAAACAATTGAATATGAAGTCACTACTTAACACAAAGAAATAAATAATTCGTCATCATTATCATCAACAGCCTTTAAATGCCCACTGCTGAGCAGAGCCTCTTCTCACCCAGAGAAGGTTTGAGTATTAATGACCACGCTTGCTCAATGCGGGTTGGCGATTACAAACTCATAATTAGAAATTATAAGCCCAGGTTTCCTCACAATGTTTTCCTTCACTGTTTGTCAGTGGTGTCTAGATATTCTTAGAAAGTACATGTAACTCGGAAAAAGTCACATTGATACTTGCCGTTGGTAGGTTTCGATCCCACACCCTCATGCATGAGAAGCATGTCTTTGACCTCCGCCACAACGACTTATATGTACCTATATGTAATTACTTTTCCTTCTTTTTATAATTACTTCATAATAAATAATTACTTTTCCTTTATCTAGCCATCGAAACTTCAAGTACCTAACAGTTATTCTCGTAACTAACACAGTTCAGTTTCTCACAAACAATCGCTGTCAAATAACCGAAACAAATAACTGCTTCATTTTGTTGATAAGAACAGGTACTTACACCTCTCGTCGTACAATAATATGTATGTATTCACTTATAAATAAGTAGGTCGCTTATTACATCCCTTCCCTTCGTGCGAAATATTATGTGCCTTTTATCCGTAATGTTTCCAAGCTGTCAAGTTCAGTTTCATTTGACCTCTGTTTCATGTAAGTACGTGTTCTTGTTCAGTATTATTTTTCCCAATAATTTGTTGTTCGTATTAAGATATGATTGTGAAGGAACTGGTTGGTTCTATGAATGATTTCAAATAGTAATTGTATTTTGAAGGGTTTAGTTTTTTGTAACGCTGAGTAGTTTTGTGTACCTATCTACTTGTAATACTTGAAAATATAGTGCTTAGACTCCGACCTGTTAAATACGAAGTTTATAACTTTGCTTGGAAATATAAACTAACACCAAAAATCCTAATAAGTTAAACTTTGGTAAATGTATAATTACATATTATTTTATAAGGTTCCTAGCCCATTACCTTTAATTATAATAAACCACATAATTTGCAAAATTCAGAATCTATCTATTGTTTCCATAAAACCTGTCGCTACGGTAATATTATTAACCCCATAACCAGATTGTTGCCACACAAATTAACACTGACCGTTTGCCATTTGCCCCTCGCTATCCAATTAATAGGCTTGGAAAAAATAACCGTAGAAGAAATAATATCAGATTACACATGTTACATATGTTTATGAGCTTTTGGGCATACGTATTTTTAGAAATACATTTATTTTTGGACAACGCACCTATTTTATAACAAACGAAATTAACTGACGATAATTGGATGATATTTTTATTTATACGATTTGTGTATCTTTCTAGTTCACGGGATGACTTCATTCAGTGTGTGACGCATGCAGGACGATCGTGTTCGATACAGGCGAGCACGCTCCTTCGGCGCATGGCTTGGGTACTGGCACACGACATAGCAGCCTGCAACCAGCAGCCCCGGCATACTGCGCGGCGCCACCCCTCCCCTATACAGCCCCCATTCTCACAGCCATCTACGGATTACTATTTTATCCCCCACGTTTGTAAAATCACCATTTAATTAGTTCATAAGATTATGTACTCAGTTGAACAAGTTAAATTGATTTATATAAATAACAAGGATGATTTAAATATGTTTAAAATATGGTTTTTATTCTGAGTCGCTCTGTTAACAAAAATGTACATAGTTTAATTTAATTATGAAATGAAAATTATAGAAGTAGCTCTCGCCATGTAAATAATAATAGAAACATCACATTATCATCCAAATATTACCTATTATAACACTCATGCAGATTAAAAATCATTACATTTTTTTATTTAATAGTTCAGTTCAATACTCGAAGTCTAGACTAAACTTTTGTTCACTCATTCGTAGAAATAAATCCAGCTTGTTAAATACAAAACTCATGAAAAACGTGCCTGTCGAAACGGTATGATTGAATTCTAATATATTTTCTTCACAAATGTTTGAAACTCAAATATATGCCAAGATCAAAGAGTTTAACAAACTCTTTGTGCAAGGAGTTGAGTAATCTTTTTGTAACTTTGTCCTTAAGTAATAAGTGTATACTACATGTGTAAACATAAATGTATAAACACCAAAATTGTACATATTCACCCTCTCATTAAAACCTTAACTTGTATCAGATAACGAATAATTTAGCTTTATAAACTTTACGGAAAAGTTACCTGTGGAAAAATAATTTTATGCAAAGTCGTCCCAATATTCGGCAACACAATATATTTATTGCAAGCTAATGGGTGCCTACATAATTATGTAAAATGAGCCTGTATGAGTCATAGCAATGAAATAGATTTTTTTATAAAATACTTAAGTTTATAAAATCAGCTAATTGTGGTCTAAGTTCAAGTGAAATGAATTGTATTTTGCCAAAGTGTGTAGATATTTTAAAATACTATAGTCGTGCTATTAGTTTAGAAATATGTATGTAAAATAGTTTATACCTCTATATATGTACTTTATTATATTGATGTAAATAGTGAGATAATTTAATTATTGTTACCTTTAAGTAAAATAAGTATGAATTTTGTACACATAATTGTATACCCCTTATGTTGTTACATTAAATTACAACATTTAAAATAGATCCAGTTTGTACTAAGTTGTTTTGCTGAATGTTTCATGTAAAATTAAAAGAGAAATAAATAAATGAAATTTAAAAAAGGAACCGTTTATTTTTTGTTATTTGTTAATTATATATAATTATTTCCAATAATGAAATATCCAGTTGTGTGTTTTTCTTTTTATTTTGTTTGACGTTCAAAAGTTCTTGGTCTAATAGATATAAATGATTTTGAGTTTTTTTTTACTTTCTTTCCCGCCTCCTTTGTCGTCTTTATGCGATGTAATTAAGGCATGAGATGAGTTTTGAGGTTTCATCTTATTATCGCCATGGTATTAGAGGTAGACAGAAAGTTATAAAATATGCATAACATAAATGAAAAATGCATAAATACATTGATTATACCATAATTAAACAAATATCATAAAACTTTTTTTTTTGGACAGGGCTCTGTTGTAGATTTTTTTTATAACATAAACCTGTAAACGAGCAGACGGATCACCTGATGGTAAGCAATCGGCGCCGCCCATGGACACTCGAATCACCAAGGCGTTACAAGTACGTTACCGGCCTTTTGGGAATTGGGAATTTGAGGATTGTGGAGGAGGAGGAGGAGACTCCGTGCTACACCTTTTTAAGGTTTAAAAAAAAATAAAAAATAGTAATAGGTACTTTAAGTATTAGATTACAGGTTTGCATAAAAACATTGTCCCTCAATATTCCTCTACTGTTACAAAGACAAAAAGCTTAAAATAATTAAAAAATACCGATAAGTCAAAATTCACTATCGCAAGCATTACCTACTCAGAGACGATAAAAAATATAATGACACTTGTTGAAACTGCCAATTTCTTTTATAGATTGTTTTAATTGCTGAGATTTTGCATAATTGTTGTCTACCTCGTCTACTATCACTTTGGCAGCATTTATTTGATTGACGTAAGTACTAACGAGCAGAAAACTCAATCCTTTTGATTATTATTACAATTAACAATATAAATCCCTAACAAAATATGAGAAAGGAAACATGTTTAATTTCTACATACTTTCATCATCAACAGCCTATAAGTGCCCATTGCTGAAAAAAGCCTCTTCTCACACGGAGAACGTTTTTTTGACAAGGCCACCACAACCTCCCTATACTGCTGCAACTCCTTTAAGCCAGGATCTACAGTAGATACAACCATGAAAACACCGGAACATTGAAGTCCGGCGGCGCGTCTCAGGGACGACATGAGTAACTGTCTTGGTTCCCGTAACGCAGTGAATCATATGATATTATAAGAGGAGAAAAAAAACAATAGTTTCCACTTCCCTCGGTGAATTACTGCAGGAGACAGAATGAATTAATCCTAAAGGCACAAAAAAGAGATTGTACAACTGGGTGAAGTCCAGTCGCCAGATGGAGAAGGTTTGAGTATTATTCACCACGCTAGCTCATTGCGGGTTGGCGGTTTCAAACTTACCTATAAATTAGAAATTATAAGTCCAGGTTTCCTCCTGATGTATTCCTTCACCGTTTGTCAATGGTGTCCATATATTCTTAGAAAGTACATATAACTCGGAAAATGTCACATTGGTACTTGTCGTTGGTAGGTTTCAAACCCGCGCCCTCATGCCTGAGAACCGGGCGTCTTAACCTCCAGGCCACCACGACAGATTACTTTCAAGAATTGAAACTATTTACCTTTAAGTTATTGAATCATTCCCTAGATCAAATAAAATGATTTATTTCTCAGTTTAAGACTGTTTTTAACCGACTTCAAACAAAGGAGGTTCTTTATTTAACCTGTAGGCATGTATGTTTGTCCGCGATTATCTGGTAATTAGCTGAACTAATTTTGATGCGGTTGTCAGAAAAAACTTGTAACAATTACTTAGGCTTAGGATTCAAAACGAGAGGCAGTTGAAGTCGGTTTTTTAATTGTAGTTTATAATATTGAAAATATATTATGTATTCCCGGTAGGTAATCAAGCTCTCAGCACTTATGTTTGTGAATGCTCTAGCTATATGCTATTCCTTACTGAGCTAGTAAATCTCGTTTTCATAAACTTTTACACTGAAATATAGTCCCTCACTCTTTGACAGATGCTGTAACAAACTATTCATATCTAAAATTAAAATCTCTTCGTTATTTGTGTGAAAAACACGGGTTTGTTTCACATACAGCTAGTTTTATACCTAAACTCAACTAATGGAGAGCAGTTGTAAACAGTAAAATCACCCCTTTCCCTTCTTTGGTGGATATCCAGGGACACACTTTATGTTAGTAGTCCCATATAATTTGAAGAGATGTTATTTTTCGTCATATCCTAAATACCACTCCACACACCGTGTTAATGCATGGAATTTCTAAAAACAGAAAATATTGGCCGACTCGAAAATCGAGAGACTCCGAGTCAGCCCCGAGTTACTTTTTATACGATCCCATTAGGTATTCTGCCTATATTAATAAATAACAAATCTACAAACCTATCAAATATCTAATTTTTTTTACAATTTATTTCGTATGACAAACGAAATAAATTGTAAAAAAAATTAGATATCTAGTATTTTCATAAATTATTTCCATTTCAAATGTCATAAATTCCAATTTATGAAACAATAGAAAACAGTACTATGTTTATATTGGGTTGTAAGAACAAAATTCGAAAACTGGCACAAAATAAAACCACAGATAAAAAAGAGCCACAAAATACTCATATTTTAAAATTTGAATAAAGAACCAAAAGGGCGGGAACGCTTTACCCTTTCCATTTATTATACTCAACGCTGCGCTGTTGCAACTTTTAATTTGTATCTAAAATCCACTTACGATAATTACAAGTAAAATAATATAAACCAAATTAAATATGTTTCGACCCGAAGACCAGCAAGTAGAAATATGTTTACTCAAATCGAATTTAGAAGAAATCGAAAATGAGTTAGTGATTCAGGTTAGAAATACATCATACAATCTTTTACACATTTTTACATTTGATATCTTAGTAAGTGCACTTTTATATAAAACTGAAGAGTTTATTTGTTTGAATACGGTAATCTCAGGAATTTAGGTCCGATATGAAAAAATATTTTTGTGTTGGATAGTCTATTTACCGAGGAAAGCTAATAACTATGAAACCGCATGGAAGTAGCTAAGTAGTACGCTTATTGTATAAAATAATTAACCTAGGCAACATAAAAAATAAAATAGATAATTGAAACCCAAAAAAAGTACATTCGTATTTATAAAGCCATTTTTATTACTTATCAATCTGTTCTAATGACACTAGCAAATGCAAAGATCTTTTGTAATTTTTTTGGCAAAAAGTGTATGTATGTGTATGTATGTGTCATCAATCATCATCAACAGCCTATAAATGCCCACAGCTGAGCAAAGCCTCTTCTCACAAGGAGAAAGTTTGAGCATTAATCACCACGCTTGCTCAATGGGGGTTGGCGATTACAGCCCAGGTTTATTCACGATATTTTCCTTCGTCGTTTGTTAGTGGTGTCTAGATAATCTTAGAAAATACATATAACTCGGAAAAAGTCACATTGGTACTTGCCGTTGGTAGGTTTCGAACCTGTGGGCTCATGCTTATGTCGCCTCATGAGAAGCGAGCGTCTTAAACCTCAGGGCCACCACGACAGTTTTGTCTGTATGTGTGCTAACTAACTATTGATTATTTAAAATACTGTGTCTCGTGTTTTATTAATTTATTATACAATTAAAATTACAGCGTTCTGCGCTACCAGCATTGGACGCAGAAAATGAACAAAAATATAGAGAGACTATGACTGCGCTGCGGGTCACCCGCTCAATGAACACTGAAATTGAACGGCTTAAACTTGAAAACGGTGAGTAGATAACCTTCTGTATCCATTAGTGGAAAAAAATGCTTCAGCAATAATATGCCGTCCCGACCAGAGTGATAGCACGGCCTCACAAACAGTCGACGTAACAACGCTTGTGTTCTGTTTCGTCGTATGAGTGAGGTTGCCGATTTCCCTACCTCCTGAAAACAGTCAGTGAATGATCCTTATTCTTATGTGCCGGTAACTCTGGTGTTGTAGACTGCGCGTGTCCATGGGCGATGTCGATTGCTTACCATCACGTGATTCGTATTTGTTTGCTCGTTTCTCACTTTAAATCCTTATTTCATATTTTACGTTTTTATTCTATATAGATTAGTCCGTAACTTAATTAATTAAAACATCTTATTTACCCATTTACGTAACTAAACGTATATACAAAGAGCTTTACACAATTAGGGTAGCCTTCCCAAGTATCTTTTCTTGTTGATCTACCTTAAACTCCAGGTTTATAAGACAGGATAATATCTCTGTAGTGTCTAGGACTTGACAGTATCTATTTTTCTTCACCTCTTGCTTGTTTGCAATATGGAGCCAGATAAATTACATCCTCCTCAAACTATGAAAAGGTATATAAGTTTGTCATAAGAAAATGTACTCAACAAGCCATAAAATAAGGAACTATAATTTATAACATGAGCCTGGTTGATGCTGATAGCACGGTTGTGTGGACTCGTGCGCCAAAATGGTGTAGATATAGGAAACGGGGATATTATCAACCGATAGGTGATATTTATATGACATAGGGGTCTTCTATCAATGACAGATTTAAAAAACAACATTTCTTTTAATACAAATTGAGGGACAAAATTCCTAGGATTTTCTTCTGTGTCGTAAAACACAATTTGTAGATCAATTCACACAAAGATTTGTTCCGCGTGAAAATTGGTAGAATTAACTCAAATAAATTATGTAGGTAGGTAACTGATGGGGCCCAACAGGGCTGATGCCGATACGGAGCCGCGGAAGACTTAACGGGTTGCCGGGGCACCGGCTCGAACTGCAGGAGTAGGAACGGGGTGGTTTTTAGTCAGTAAGAGTCTGACACTCCCTCTCGCCTCACCCGGGCGGGAGAAGTCATTGGATGATTTTCCCCCTTTGATTAAAAAAAAGGTAGGTAACTGATTACTAAAAATTAAAATGAATGACGATTTGATTTATTGCAGTACGATTGACTGCAAAACGTATGCAATTAAAGCGGCAAAGCGATGATATTACTAAAAGCTTGGAACGGGCACGGGAGGACCAAAGTGAACTTGCAAAATCCGTGAAACAAGAAGCGCAGAAAACAGAACTTATCATGTAAGTTAAAGTTTAACCGTGTTTTAATAACTTATATAAATCATTTAGACGCGATGTTTGATATTGACAATGTTTAAGAAGCCGTTGTGTAGTGTATAAGCTATTAACAACAAACATTATTTTTTAAATAGACGTACTAATACTGATCACGATTACGTTACAGTTATGTACGTATAGATAACGTATACGCCCAAATACTCTAATTCTGATTCGTAAACATAATATTTAGTGTAATATTTAATGTGGTAACGGGTCGGGTAAAAACGGGCAAGGGGTCTCGGGTTCGATTCCCGGACCAGGCAAAGAATTACTGGGTTTTTTAAAAATTCTGAGTAGTAGCACGGAGTCTGGAATTGTGCCCGGTATATAGCAATAGGCTCACCCCCTATTACATGGGACTCACAACATAAATAGTGAAAAATGGTTGTTACCTCTGTGTGCACCTCTGCCTACCCCTTCGGGGATAAGAGGCGTGACGTTATGTTATGTAATGTATTTAATGTGATATTATAGACCAACGGCCGATTTTTCCAACGCCAGATAAATTTTAACAGAGGAATTTTAAACTGTCAAACACCAAGCGGTCACCGGTGACCGCGACCTATTGTTCTTTAATTGTGTCTATAAAACCGGTACTCGACGAGTTAACAGAGGAACTTTGAATATTTGACTAATCTTCCATACTAAAAACTGAATTGATAAAGCGGCCCTAAATGTAGGTAAATGTCGTTAATCTATCTAGTCTAAAATGTCTTCAAAAATATTGAAAAGTACCTAGTAACAAATAACCCTTTCCTTTAACAATCTTCGCACAATATTATCAAAGAATTTACGGTGAAACCGCATTGTTACGGTTGGTTGGCATCAATGCAATCTTACGATTGCAATATCCGCTGACAGAAACCGCTGCTCTCCTTTGTATATTCCTGTGTAAAATATTATATCTTTGTACATTGTTAATCTAATTCTATTACCTGTTGTCACTGAGTTTAGCTTTTCGATTAATTTTAAATTACAGACGTCAGTATGAAGACTTATTGGAAGAAATATCAAATAGGTTCAGAAACACTCGAGGATATTACGTATGTTATTTCTGTATGTAAATTTTAGATTTAGTTGAACTTATAAATAAATTAAAAGACTGAATCATTCCTTAAATACGTTCCTAGGACGGGCAATGAATAATTTGGAGATTTTCAAAAGATAGTAAAAAAAGTTCATGGTTATCATTAAGTTTTTCTTTTTTGAAAAACTTTGTCCCACACTAGTATTTTCTCCTGTGTCGTGGGTTACAAACATACAAGTTTACTTACACATGATACCCAGACCCGGAACAACAATCTATAGATCACACAAAGAATTGTTCCATGCGGGAATCGAACCCATGTTGCGCGGCAGCCAGTTGTCCAGCCACCGCGCCAACCGTGCAGTCAAAATTAACAAATCATTGTGAAACATTATTATATTAAATACATAGCATTTACTTCATCATGAAATAAATCTATAAAAATATGAAATGTTTACTAAATAAATAAACTTTCGTTAAAATCAGATTGAAGAAGAAATTAATAAGGAAACGGAAAACGTTAATTCAACAATAATACAATTAACGGATGAATTAGAAAAGAGACAATGTATGGTAAACGAATTGAAATCACAGCTGAGTATGATTCAACCAGTTGTACCAGAAGACATCCTTACAATATTGTGAGTAGCTGATTCTTATTAGTCATCTTAATTTAACACATAATGAGTTGAAAGGGCTTAGATCTGGATGTTCATCGAACTTCGATGTATAGAGAAATTCAATTTTTTTTAATATATCTCAATCGTTATATAATTTCGGTATATATCGGTCGAATATTTTTTCGCAAATACTTGGTAGGGTTGTAGCCAGTAGATACTGTAGTGCCTCACTAAAAATAAGGAGCAAAATTTAACATATACAAAGAATTGCTCATTAATTTCCTCTTCGTGTTCCATAGTGGTGTCATATTGCAATAGCATAATTAATTGTGTCCAGTTCTTACAATAATTATTTTCAGTATTGTTTTGGTAGTTTTCTAATTAAATCATTCAATATCAAAATATATTTACTCGTTCGTCATTTGCTTAATTGATTAAAGCTTGTCTAGCGATCTCATCAGAATATCCGAATTGGTATTATTATATATATCTAATAAATTTAGGTTTACGTAGGACCAGATGAATCAAAAATCTTTTTTAGTCGGTAATTAAAAAAATAACAAGCAACACGTTATGAAACGGATCTACCTTTTATTTTTCAGTGGAAAACAAGAATTAGATAACAAAGTAAAGGAACTTTCTGAAAAGTTAGAAGCCTTGATTGAAAAACGTAAAATTCTTCTACAAAAACCAGAGTGACTTATAAATTCGACACATCCAAGAAATTTTTTTTTTCAATTCCTTTGATGTTTATAGAAATGGTATTCTTTAAATATTTTCTTTAAATAAATAGGTACATACGTAGACCTGTTAATTATTCTACATTAATTCAGTAAGAATTCAACTTTTACAAATACAATAATAGGTAGTAGGTACCTAAGCAGATTTAAATTAAGTTAGTACCTACGTACCTATCTACCCACTACAAAAAAATCTTCTAAGTTCTTCTAAATTTTATTATACTTACAGCTTGCAGTGACGGTAAGTTATATTTTATTTATTTATTTATTTATTTAAGGACAACCAACAAAGCATACACCAAAATACATGATAGGTTTTTTTTACATAATATTTTAACACTCTATAGTGTAGCCTTAATTACAGGCTGCCACGACATGCATTATAAAAGAACAGGATATTACAACAACAAAAAAACAGAAAGTTCGCTTATCAATAAAAAAAGACATCAATTTCAATCACAATTGTTAAATTTAAGTTTTTACTTCTTTTTAATTTTTAAACTGTACAAATTTGATCTGAATATGTAGTGCATATAGTGCAGTTTAACTCTGTGAGAATGTCCTACGCAGGACAGTTTTCACTTTAGAAAGAGAATAGGACATGTCAATATCCACACTAAGTGAGCATGACAGGCGACTAAATTGTTCTTGCAACTCTTATTTTAACTGAAGAAGAAGTTTTTGTACTTTAAAATCATACCTGGAAAAATGTTATGGACACTTTACGTCTTATTGATTTCGACCACAAAGTGCAGTGGGTGGTACCACGTGTCGTATCTACTCCTTTGTTGGCTTCAGTCCAGTTAGTACACCGTCTCCTGTTTCACCAGACGCCGGCACCATGTCTTTCATAACTTTTGATGTATGTCGGCGAACTAGATACAATGCCCGTATCTTTGTTCACTACTCAAGATGCTCTTTTATTCATTCTAACAATAGCTCAGCTATAAATAGTGTGGAAAGTGAAAAGAAAAGTGCATGACATGCAGTCTATGGATTTTCTCATTGGTATTATCATAGTAGGTAGGTACATATAATTCAAATAAATAAAGTAAGTACCTCTTAGATTCTTTAGTCACTCTTAAGAGTGCTGTAATTACAGAGACTAAAGAGTGCCTGATTGTGCGCTCCAATTTTAGTTACCAAAATTTCGCATATACCAATACAGTTGGTTAATGTAGCAATGTATTCAGGTGACACTGATAACTGACAATAAGGAAAGGCTTCGACGCATATGTATACATATGAACATTAACAAATAATAGATGGTTTGACTTTTAAAAAGTTTATTTATTAACAAAACATGATTCTGAAAATTCAATTGGATGATACTTAATAATATAAATTAATGAGATTTTGCGGCTGACGCTATTGATGGTTTGTGTTTATGGCTACGAGCATTCTGGAACCCTTGCTGTACTGCTCCAGCGATTGCTGCTCCTTGGAAGAATTTACCCTGTAAATAAAGAAAAGTTTAAAATGTAAGGTATTACTATTTATTGCGTCTTATTTTTTCCGTTGTCTAAAGCTAACAGGAAACTTAAAGATTAATTGTGCAAAATCGTTTAAGGCCATTAATACTACATACCTACGCCTTGCACGAGCCAATCTCAATAGTAATTAATTATCGTGAATTTATTGCTGATTTACCTTATACAATACTAGTATTGGCATTCAGATGTTAATGGAAATATATTTATTGAGCAATTCAATTATAATTAAATAAATAATAAAAGTAATATTGAAATTATAAAACGTAAAATTTGGTCTAGGTACGTACCAATCCATCTTTTAATTTTTGAGTCCATGGTTTTGGAGTAGTAGTACTAGTTGTGCCAAATAATGAGCCAGTCAATGTCGGCACGCCTGACGTAGCACACGTCACTACGGACACGTGTGCGCATAAAGCGACTGCTAAAAGAATAACCAAAGCGATCTTCATTGTATCGTCGTCGTGTCTCAACTACGAATCACCTCAAGCCAACAGTAAAACTTGGCTTTTATAATTCTCGAATACAGGAAAACATTCAGAAAAACCACAAACTTGCTTACGACTATCCCCATTCAGTTTCCAAGTTGTTCTATCATTGTGTGTTTTACTAAAAACACGTATAAACCCACGATGTGACACATCAAATTCTTTTATTGTTACTATATTAGTATCTATATATTTGTAATATCCTACTTATTACCTATAAGAATATTGAATATTTAGAAATGATAAATTATATAACTTACACATTTTTAATCATTAGTATGTGACAGACCAAAGAAAAAGCTTATACGGGTTTTAACCAAATCCTTTACTAATAAAAGGGATTCCGATATGTTTGTGAGTACAACAAGTACAGGAATTCAAGGAAACGGTTACGTGGACAGTGTTAGTAATAATAATACTGTAAGGGAGCGGAAATATGGCTTAACATCACGCCTGTCTAAGCTGTCTGTCAGATAACTTCACTGGTACCGTATTCTAATTATCAGGTACCGTAAACAATTCTGAACTCTTACTAAGTTTAGCCATAACTAAGTTTAGCCAAAGTACCTATACTCTTTATACTGTATTTAACGTCAAGTTTTAAAAACAAAACACAAACAAGCTAAGAAACAAGACTGCCTCGTTGGCCAAGTGGTCGCATGTGCAACGGCCAGGGTTCGATTCCCGGGTCGGGCAAAGTATTACTGGGTTTTAAAAAAATCTCAGTAGTAGCACGGAGACTTGAATTGTGCCCGGTATATGGCAATAGGCTCACCCCCTATTACATGGGACTCATCATAAATAGTGAAAAGTGGGTGTTACATTGTACAGTGACATAAAGTGCACCTCTGCTACCCCTTTGGGAATAAAAAGGCGTGATGTTATGTATGTGTTATCTTTTCAAAACAATTCAAAAACTAATTAGGTTAAATAACTGTATATCTGCATAGACTGTTAGCAAAGAAAACATACTATCTATCGTTCCACAAATTTATTAAAACCTTCAGTATTTTTTACAATAAATAAGATTTACATAAATAATTTATTTCTACAACTAGATGAATATTATCTATGAATAATATTATGATCTAAAATTATTCAAGGAGAAACAAGACAAAACATTTGAGGGTTATTCGAGTACCTATCGTATCATTTTTTTTTTTTTGTTTGTGGATTAGGTTAGTTTCCAAGTACCTAACCAATTCAAAACATTTTTAAAATGTCCAAAATTATTTCTCCTGGCTTATTTGCCAGACAAATATTAAAACTTTAAGCTTAAAATACAAGATTAGAGTCATTATATGTGACCAAAACTAGATGGCGCTACCGACACGGCAACATCGAGTTCTAGATAAAAAACGTTCTACCTCTAAAATTGAATTTTATTGAATTTAATGATTTTTGTATTTTTCATTTAATTCACTTTTACTTTTATTTAAAGAACACAAGGCTTTGGATCCTTGTTAGGAATCCAAATAAATTAATAAAAAAAACATAGGTACTATTTCTGATTGAGGAGGCTACCCTAATGTTAGCTAAAAATAATGTTAACACTTCATGCTTTCGTTGTAAAATAAGGTGGAATGCACATAATTGTCTACATACATTTATAATAAACAGTTTGCGTCAGTTAGTCTTAAAAGTAAAAGTACATATGTACATGACATGTTTACTAACAAATTAAATATTTACTAATATTATAAATGCGAAAATGTGTTGCGTTATTTTTCTTTCACGTCGCAACATAATTATAGTACGTACTTATGATTTTTTATGTTTTTCTAGCTGATTAGTGTAGTAGGCTAGAGAGTGTATAGACTATTTTTTACATCCTAGAGCCACAGGCAAGAAATGTGCTTATATTAAATAAAGGTACTATAAGTTATCTTAATGTTTCTTCTTGTGTTTTGGTTTGAAGAAGGTGTAGACATCATGCGCAGTGCTGGCTATGTTAATCGCCCGGAGACCTTTACCCTGAAAAGAATAAAAATTTATATTAGGCTGCGAATCTTGTACAATGATGAAAACCATAAGGAGAAAGTGATACGTAGGTATAAATTACCTACATTGTCGATATTATATTGTGTACCTCTTCTCTCTACCTTTTAGATATATACCTAGCATTAATACCACATCCACATATTTTTCAAATTGTGGGGTATTTTAATTATCTAGGTAAATATTATGTAACATAATTTTACAGCAGATTCTCGGGCGCTAATAATGAATTCATAAATTTTATAAATGAGTTAAAATAAAATAGCTGACGAGCCAGCATATACCTAAATGCTACTTATTATTATAATTTAATCATCTTAAACAATACTAGGAGGAATAAAGGCGAGGCCGTTGTCCAGCAGTGGACGTCTTTCGGCTGTTGATAATTATGATGTCGAAATTTATCATCTATATTCCAAATTTTATAATAACTGCATCTATATAAACAAGAATGCAAATTGGAATAACATAATATATATACATAAATAGGTAACTAAGGAGAATATAGCAACTACAGCCCCGTTAAACCACCCTCTTATTAGTACCTGATCTGGTAGGTAGATAGTGGCTCTTTAGACATCATGAAACAGGGCTTGATTCTTTCTCGGTTCGTCTTGTTTAATATATTAATTAAGTGGATTAACTTAATTCTAAAAAATGTTGCTCTACAAATTCTAAACAAGGATACTTACAATCGCTGCGCCCGCCTTTTTAATTGCCTTCACGGGTATCTTTCCTGGAGCCGCTTCAGAAGGCACCAGAAGTGCAACCACCACGATGAAAATCACAAACACTTTAGTTAATTTCATTTTAATTGATTATTTTGACGATTATTATAAAAGGTATATTTTAATCACAGAGTACCTAAGTACGCAGTACGAACTTGGTAATGACTTATGAAGTTGAACAAAACGAGCCGTGTTTTATACACTAAGATAGTATAATATCGGGACTTTACATATCCCGAAACCGTGTACAATGTACATGTCGAAATCGTGATGCATTATTTATTTATAGTTATGTAGATACACTATTTGACTTTACTTGTGTTAATTTCTGTGAATTGCGCATCTGAGTGATTGCGTCATTTAATGTTATTGTGATAAATCTATATAAACATCCCGATAAGCCATGCTCTCAAAATATCATACAAAGGTTTATAAGTAATCAAGAACAAACATATTTATTTACATTATGGCGGTTACATCTAGTAGTACTTAGGTCAAGTGGACAAGCATGACTGTTAAGTAAGAGCTTCATTTTAAAATCAAATAAATGGCTTGCATTTTATATTGTTATTGAATACAAAGGATTTTAATTGCTCTGCCTGCCTCTGACTGCCTCTTTGGCCGAGCGGTCGTTAGTGCGACTGCCGGGCAAGGGGTCTCGGGTTCGATTCCCGGGTCGGGCAAAGTATTACTGGGTTTTTAAAAATCTTAGTAGTAGCACGGAGTCTGGAAATGTGCCCGGTATATGGCAATAGGCTCACCCCCTATTACATGGGACTCATAACATAAATAGTGAAAAGTGGGTGTTACATTGTACAGTGGCATTAAGTGCCGTAATGTGCACCTCTGCCTACCCCTTCGGGGATAAAAAGGCGTGATGTTATGTTATGTTATGTTATCTTGTTGTTCATAAGTAGTTTTTATTATGGGTATTTCATGTCCGTATAGCTGTAAAGAACTACCAAGAGCTTGAATTGTGTTAAAACCTCTATGGAATTCAATTTTCTATTACGATTATATCTGCGCTCTTTAAAAAACCTAAAGCTTTTGAATTGCGATCTCCATACCATCTGACAAGCGTGGAGATTACTTATATCACGTTGTGTTTGTCACACAGTAAGCAGTGTAAGTAGCGTTAAATAATAATTTAGACACTTATTTAAAGTTTTTAATAAGAAAAACTCTTTGAATAAAAAAAAACTTATTGAGTTCTAGGCTTTATACTACATAGAGGAGAACCATACATTGACTGCACGGTTGGTGCGGTGGCTGGGCAAACGGCTGCCGCGCAACATGTAGCGGGTTCGCTTCCCGCACGGAGCAACTCTTTATGTGATCTACAAATTCTTCTTCCGGGTCTGGGTGTGATGTGTATGTGAGCTTGTATGTTTATAAATGCGCCCACAATACAGGAGAAAATCTTAGAGTGTTAAAAGAAAAAAAAACATATCCCAACATCAACAGTGGTCGGTTATTGATAACAAATTAATAACTTACTTAGCAAGCAAGCAAATATGATTCAGTACTTCCAAATACACGGGGAAAAACAGACCTGTCCCAATTAATACCTCGTTCATGACTTTTACAAACATTTTTTTTTGTTTTAAGACATGTCATAAACATTGATAACCCAAAAAATTTAAACAATGTTGAAATCTTTGTTTTTTTATAGTGAGTATCTATGATACAACATAACATAACATCACGCCTTTTATCCTCAAAGGGGTAGGCAGAGGTGCACATTATACCACTACAATGTAACACCCACTTTTCACTATTTATGTTATGAGTCCCATGTAATAGGGGGTGAGCCTATTGCCATATACCGGGCACAGTTCCAGACTCCGTGCTACTACTGAGAATTTTTTTTAAAACCCAGTAATACTTTGCCCGACCCGGGAATCGAACCCGAGACCCCTTGCTCGGCAGTCGCAATTGCGACCACTCGGCCAACGAGGCAGTCGGTCAACGAGCAGTAGTATCTATGAGTTTGTAAAAATATTAAATTGTTAAAGATCGGTGTAGCTGCCTACATATCCATCTTCTTATTTTCGCTTTGTAAGCATGAGCCATCATTTCTGACGTTACATGTTCCGACTTTCCGTAACATTGACAAATTACTGACTCCAAATAAACAACAGTATTCACATCGTACTTTTAACGAGAATACGGTAAAGAAAAATGTGTACAGATACATCTTGACATATTTAACATACCCAAAATATAGTGTATGCTTTGAAACGTGTGTTCAAATTATATTTCTTTTGTTCAAAGTCAAAGTCAATGCAATTTTCGATCAATCCTTAATTAGGCACTTCATCATCATTATCACCATAATTGGTGTGTGCCTATTGCTGAGAAGCGAACTCTCATACGAAGAAGGTACGATCATGTTCAAGGTGTATTGACGATTTCAAGGTGAAATTATAAGTCACGACATTTTTCTTTACCGTATGTCAGTGGTATTCAAATAATCTTAGAAAGTACATAACATAACATAACATCACGCCTTTTATCCCCGAAGGGGTAGGCAGAGGTGCGGATTATACCACTGTACAATGTAACACCCACTTTTCACTATTTATGTTGTGAGTCTCATGTAATAGGGGGTGAGCCTATTGCCATATACCGGACACAATTCCAGACTCCGTGCTACTACTGAGAATATTTAAAAACCCAGTAACACTAGAAAGTAAATATATCTTGGAAAAAGTCGCATAGCAAAAGTTGTGTCTTAACATCCGGGCTACCACGACACGGTATGACACGACATTCACAATATTCACTATGTGTACTTGTATGTATTCTTCTCTACCCACCACTTCCATTAATAAAAGGTCTGGGGTTACGTTTACTGGGGAATTTTATTTCGGTTCTCAAAATGTAGTAGGTACCTGTACTTGCGGCTTCAATCACATAACTAGAACTTGGTAATTTTTACCCTTACTAAACAAATTACAAAAAATGTGAAGACGCGACGTGGCGAGCAGAACAAGTTACAAATACATATTTTCATAACTTACTTTCATACCCTTTCCTATTTTGACAGCTCTCTCCCTCTGTGTTTATGCTTCCGTCTCGGAGCCGAAACTACGCCATCCACGAGTAGTGCGAGCGCTAGCTGTCATCAGTATAATAACGACCGATGGCGTGAGTCTGATTTTATGCTTTCTGCTACCCTGGAAGCTTCACGGAAGAAATCGCAAATTTGACTGTGACGAAACTCATTGGACCCTTCCTTATTTATTAGAGTTGTTTTGTTTTAGCTTTTTATATTTACTTATTTGTTACATAGGTAAGGTGGTAAGCTATATCTAGTACCTACCTAATATAGGTATGCTGTTTAAACTTGCGTCACTAATTTTTACATTCCCTATAGAGAAAATTTTAATTGTAATTACATATTATGTACATAAACATTGACATAATTGGTCAAAAACATATAAGGTCCTAATAATATTTCGAACAGTCATACTAATACCTACTTTAAATTAAATTAATTACATAGGTACCTACTTCATATCCTTACTAATATTATAAATCGGAAAGTGAGTTTGTTTGTTTGTTCCGCTTTCACGCCGTAACTACTAAACCGGTTGCTTTGAATTTTTGCATACGTAAAGTTAGAAGTCTGGATTAAATAATAGGGTACTTCTTATCCCGGAAAAATTTGACATTCCCGAGGGAAAACAAAAGTATTGGTATAGATAGCGCTGTGTGTATTGGTATATGTCACATAGGCTACTTTTTATCCTTTTGTGACGTGAGCGAAGCCGCTGGTAAAAGCTAGTTATGAATAATTTGAAGTGAACTGGCACAATACCTTTTTAAAAAGATGTTCGATAAGGAAAAACAAACAATAATTTTAAAAGTTATGAAGAATTCACATTAAGATATACTTTTAAAATTAGGTATAAGCTATATCAGAAATTGGCATGAAAAGCTTGATGACTGTTAAGAAAGTGAAAGAGGTATGTAAAAATCGTAGCAATTAGCGTACCATAGTCTCTGCTTAGGGTCCATGGAAGACAAGTGTGTGGTTATGTGCTATGTATCAAAAATTGAAACATCTATCCCTCCAATTTGTTTTATAACCGATTAATAAGCTTAGGAAACAAGGGACTGCCTCGTTGGCCGAGTCGTCGCAAGCGCGGCTGTCGGACAAGGGGTCTCGGGTTCAATTCCCGGGTCGGGCAAAGTATTACTGGGTTTTAAAAAAAATCTCAGTAGTAGCAAGGAGTCTGGAATTGTGCCCGGTATATGGCAATAGGCTCACCCCCTATTACATGGGACTCAAAACATAAATAGTGAAAAGTGGGTTATACATTATACAGTGGCATAATGTGCACCTCTGCCTACCCCTTCGGGGATAAAAGGCGTGATGTTATGTTATGTTATGTTTGTATGAAACAACGTAATATAAGTATGTGCCTTCATAGCAGATGGTTTGTTAATATAAACAGCACAAGTTTTATCTCAGTTTAATTTTAGCAAAAATAAATACAAAATTGTGAGGGCAAAGGACTCAACAACAACTGTATGTAAACATTTTCTTGGCTTCGATCAATTATTGATCGGAGGTGACAGAGGAAAAAAGCCTCTAGCCCTGATTTTTCCTGTTCTTCAAAGCCTTATAAGCATCGTGCACGTTTCCAGCCGCATTGACAGCACGAAGACCATTCTTCTGGGAAAACATATAAAATAAATTGATAAAATAAGAAAAGCAGGATTATTCAAGAGTTATAGGTAAAATGGAATTCGATTGCATTATAATATAAAAAGTACTTATCTTTAAAGAAATGTTATTTAATTTTATGGGGTTGGTATACCTACGTCATTTCCCCTATACTTAATAAACTCTTTGTACGTCATTAAACTTGGCAATCTAAATGTCAGATTTCTATTAACATAACGGACAAACATGCTTTCTGATTTTTTTACATAAGCAGGTTCAATGTTTATTTAGGGAAGAATCTTACAATATATAAAACCACTTACAGCAACTGATCCCGCCTTCACTTTAGGATTGGCTTCAATAACACTGATAAACAGCGCCAGAACTGCTAGCATTGCCACGAATGACGCAAACAATTTCATATTGACAGACTTTTCTTGCAAAAGATAACACAGACTCACAAAAGAAGACACACAACTGATATATATCCTTACATTTCCGTCTATTTATTTGATTTCAGTATTCTTACCTACGAGTGCAAATTATAATCACCATCTTAGAGCTGATGATAATTATAATCGTAACAGAGAGTTATTGTGAGGAAAATATTGTCTGAATTCTACTGAATTGAGGTACTACTTAATTGTAATTAAATTGTGTACGTGACTGGTAAGTCACGTCCACAATTACTTAAAAAGGAGCACCTTCGTATAAGGGAGACTCCCGACTTGATCGGTAATAATACAATTTTGCTTCAATTAATTGCGCGGTCACGATTTCATTTCATGCGCATGTTATTTGACATTGGCATAACGTGTGTATGTAATACAATAATGTCATATACATACATGTAAGTTTATATAGGGATGTATTTTATGTAAGTCTATACTATCCTTTTTTTATGCATTTCTGTTGAGTCTTAAATACGCTTGCTTCTTGCATCGACCATTGTTTTTGTCTCTGCATCACCCAAAGGTCTGGCTGGAGGAGAATGCCCTAGGCATTAAGCCCACCTTGTACATTAGTATGTGCATGAAGTCTTTTAAAATAAAATAAAAAAATAATACTAGCTGGTGCCATAGAGTTTGCCTGCGTTCTTGTGGGGTAAAAAATTGCCTATGTATTATTCCGACCCGTTCCAAATTTAACATCAATCGAACAATTTATTCCTACAAGAAAAGCATGTACCCTGTATATAATCAAAGCTGAAATCTTAATGTTACACTTCATAAATCCGTCTACATAAAACCAATTTCTTGATGGTGCTGCACTAGCTGTGTGGTGACAGCAAAATAGAATAAATTTGTCACCATCAGCACCATCAGGAATATAGTTCTTCGCATCAATTTAACAAGAATTAACGACGTCATTATATTCAACACAAAGTTAATGTTTCTGCCAATATTGAAACTCATAATGACATTACATTGTTATGTTATGTTTAACATCACTTCTTTTATTCCCGAAGGGGTAGGCAGAGATGCACATTACGGCACTTAAGGCCACTGTACAATGTAACACCCATTTTTCACTAGTTATGGGGGCGGAGGGGTTGGTTGAGCCTATTGCCAGATACCGGGCACAATTCCAGATTCCGTGTTACCACTGAGATTTTATTTAAAAGCTCAGTATTAAATCGAACCTGAGACCCCTTGCCCGATAGTCGGACTTGCGACCACTCGGCCAACGACGAGGCAGGCAATGAGGCCACATTATGATTGAGAAAATTAAACTGTGTCACTGCTAACAAACAACCCATTAAAATATTGATGATAAAATAATATGCTATTGTGCTTAACACCTTATAGGATAATAGTAACATCATAACATTACGCCATTTATCCCCGAAAGGGTAGGCAGAGCTGCACACAGAGACACCTAACACCCACTTTTTACCATTTATGTTATGAGTCCCATGTAATAGGGGGTGAGCCTATTGCCATATACTGGGCACATTTCCAGACTCCGTGTTACTACTGAGATTTCTTTTATAAACCCAGTAATACTTTGCCCGACCCGGGAATCGAACCTGAGACCCCTTGCCTGGCAGTCGCACTTGCCACCACTCGGCCAACGAGGCCAACGAGGAGGATAATAGTTTGTTTAATAAATGTTAACGTTTTCCTACTCGTCAGCGGTCCTCTATAAACCTGAAACTTTTCAATTGCGATCTCTAATACTACCCGCCTGCCAAACATGAAGACTATGGCCAACTCTCTTGTGGTGAAGAGGTCCGTAGTCTAATTGAATAGATGTGGGTCGCCCTTTACATTTAAATATCTGGATGACCAAGCTTTGCTGGGTGTTTGTCAGTATTTTTAAGTATGGGAGAGCCATGCTTCGGCACGAATGGGCCGGCTTGACCGGAGTGATACCACTGCCTCACAGAAAACCGACGTGAAGCAACGCTTGCGTTGTGTTTCGTCGTGTGAGTGAGGTTACCGGAGGCCCAATTACCCTACCCTTCCCCATCTCCCCAATCCCTGAATCCCCAACGATCTTCAAACTCCTAATCCCCAAAATGCCGGTAACGCACTCGTAACGCCTCTGGTGTTCCAGGTGTCCATGTGCGACGTCGATTGCTGACCATTAGGTGATACGTCTACTCGTTTACCGGCTTATGCCATAAAAAAGTATATTTTTTTTTAAAGAAAAATAGTTAATATAGAAAAAAATAAAATGAAATATGAAAAATTAAATAGAACAAACATAAAAATAAAAGACACATTCGAGCCAGGATTGAACCCGAGTTATACTGTAAGGATTTTTATTGATATAAAAGACGGAAAAAACGACATTTTCTGAAAATGAAATTTATCCCGATCGATTTATCGCTCCCTAAATACATAATTTCAAGATAATAGATGGAGCCGTTTCCGAGATCGTTGATATATTTAATTATTTACACATACCAGCTGCTTCCCGCGACTTCGTCCGCGTAGAATGACAGACACTTCTGCCAGAATTTAGGCTTTTGAATTAGACTTTACCAAGGGACATTTCACTGAAACAAAATAATGTCAGCAGACTTAATTCAGTACTTAGGTTATATTTATTGTATAATGAATTTATTTTCGTGATTTTAAAATAAACATACATTTTAAAAACCATATTTCTAGATCACGCCCCATTCTTTAAAAAAAATATTCAATGCTCAGTTTGACTTTTCTACGATTTTATTTTACATAATATGTATAGATATACATTAAAATCGTGTTTAAAATCGTAGTTTTCTATAGTAAATCTAGATAATACTATGGCCTACTCAAAAATTATATAAGTATAAATATGTGTCATTAGATTACACGCTGTCACAGAAAGTGTAAGAGAAATAAAGACTGACTGACAGCTCCTCCCATGTACATGACAGAGTGATAATATGTAGCTTATGTGTTGACCCAACCTGTCAGTAATAATCATACAAAATTTGAATTAAATTCATGCAGTACTTTTTGAGATCATCCCGGACATACATACAGACAAACAGGAAAAAATTCTATAAACCATATTTATTGCTTCAGTATCGATTGTAGATCACGCCCCAAGTATTAAAAAAATTCAATGTACCATTTTGACTTTTCTACGATTTTATTATACGTAGGTATAGATAGAAGATAGATATTATCATGTACATATTTGGCATATATACATGTATTTGTCAAGAATTACTCGTTTAAAGGTACGATATAAACTAACGAACGGTTCCACAAAGTAAAAAAAAAACATTACGCAAACACGAGTGTTACTTGCCTACAATGTGTTCGCCTATAATTTATATCCTATACCTATGTAGACTAAAAACTAAGGACTAAATTCAATGACATAAACTACCATAAATAGCTACCATACCATACCAATAATACCATAAAATGCTAAAATAAAAATCAGTTTCACTATATATAAGTGGGGGTTTAATTAGTTTCGTCACAGTCAATTTTACGATTTCTTTCGTGAAGCTCCCAGGGTAGCAGAAAGCATAAAATGAGACTCACGCCATCGGTCGTTATTGTACTGATGACAGTACTCGCACTACTCGTGGATGGCGTAGTTTCCGCTCCGAGACGGAAGCATAAACACAGAGGGAGAAGGCTGTCAAAAATGGGAAAGGCTATTGTAAGTTACAAACTAAAATGGAAGTATATCTCTATAGTATAAAAATAAATGCTCACCTCAAGAACAAGTGTTGCAAGCGCTCATAGGCCACGGTAACTTACCATCGTCGTATAAAAAACGAACAGCTAAATCGATTTCCCTAATTCTTTTAAGATTTTTTTTGAACTTTTTGTATCAATGTTAAAGTCTATCCTACTTAAAACATCAACAATAGGTAGGGTAGGTATATATTGGGCTCGCTGCCATTGGAGCGGTAAGACCCCTCTTTGAGGAGTGGCTTGAGAGACGCTACGGCAGGTCCTCACCGGACATGGAAGTTTCGGGAGGTACCTGTGTCTGATGGGACGGGAGGAAACGCCCGGGTGTCATCACTGCGAGGACCGCCCTGAGGACACGGTGGAAGTGATCGGCGATGGCGACCTCTCGCGTCCGGGCCTAGTGCAGGCCATGATGCGGAGCGAGGGGGACTGGGATGCCGTCTCCTCCTTTTGCGAAGCAGTCATGCTAGCTAAGGAGGAGGCGGGACGCGTGAGGCAGCGCTTCGCTGCCTCCTCGCAACCCAGCCATCGCGAAGGACACACTGGGCGTCGGGGATCGCGGGACGATCTCCGGCCACCGTAAGCGCGGGCCTGCGGACGGCGAGCATGGGTGGCTCCCCGTCCGACCAGAAACAGACCCGAGCGTGCGGCGCGTCGCGTTCCGCGCGCGCCTCAAAGAGCCATCAGACCACCACAGATGGGGCTCAATAGGGCCGATGCCGATTCGGAGTCGCGGAGAACCTAACGGGTAACCGGGGCTCCGGCTCGACGTGCAGGAGAAGGAACGGGGTGGTTTTTAGTCAGTAAGAGTCTGACACTCCCTTCCGCCTCACCCAGGCGGGAGGAGTCATTCGATGATTTTCCCCCCTTAAAAAAAAAAGTGTAGGTATATATTGATTTTATTTCAATTATTCATAAGGATTACTAATTGAAACGCTGATTTCTGATTACATATACACATTTACACAAAAAATCTTTTCATTATAAATTACAGGAAGTGTTCTCCAATACGATGGCTGCAGTTGTAGCTGGATACGAAATCTATGAAATATTCACAGACATTGATGAATCTGAGCCAGAGAAGACGGAGCCGAAACCAACCAACAGACGCCCGATAGACAATTTGAATCTTTACAAAACGAATCACAATTCATCTTCATCATCGTCACCATTACCACCATCACCATCACCACCATCACCATCACCACCATCACCATCACGACCATCACCGTCGCCTAAAACCGTCTAAAAACGTCACCAAAACGTCTACT